TCTCGCACTATATGCTTGTATTTCTCTTCTGCCACTATGAGAATCCTGAGTCCCAATAACATCCTTTGTTGCCGGGCGCGGTGGCTCAAGCCTGTAATCCCAGCACTTTGGGAGGCCGAGGCAGGTGGATCACGAGGTCAGGAGATCAAGACTATCCTGGCTAACATGGTGAAACCTCGTCTCTACTAAAAATACAAAAAAACTAGCCGGGCACGGTGGCGGGCGCCTGTAGTCCCAGCTACTCGGAGGCTGGGGCGGGAAAATGGCGTGAACCCGGGAGGCGGAGCTTGCAGTGAGCCGAGATCGCCACTGTACTCCAGCCTGGGCGGCACAGCGAGACTCCGTCTCAAAAAAAAAAAAGAAAAAAAAAAACCATCCTTTGTTTTTATAGGCTCACTTTAGCAGCTCTGTTGGAAATAGACTGAAAGGGGGGCAAGGGCAGAAGTAGGGAGACATTTTGGAAGCTACTATAGCAATCCCCATGAGTTACAATAGTAGCAGTGGAGTAATGAGAAATAGTTGAATTATGGATATGTACACACACACACGCATATACACATGTATATATACATACATTTGAAAATTTTGAAATAGTTTGAAACCTATAGAAAAGTTGTAAGAACAGTGCAAAGAACTCTTGCATGCCCTTTACCAGATTCCTCAGTTGTTAAATTTTGCCGCATTTACTCTATTTCTCTCTTTCTGCCTTTCAAGAGAGAGAGATGTGTTGACCCATCACCTTTAAATACTATAGTGTATATTCTCTATCCTTCTACCCCCCAAAACAAGGCCACATTCCTGTATTACTACCCTATATTTCTTCCAGTCAGGAGATAAACATTGATACAACGCTATCATTCAATTCAAAGACACCATTCAAAGTTTGCCATCTGTTTCAATAATGATTTGTTTTTCTAGTCTAGGATTTTACTTGCAAACATTCATTGCTTTTACTTCTTATGTCTCATCAGTGTCCTTTAATCTGAAACAGTTCTTTAGTCTTTTCCTGTCTCTAATGTCCTTGACAGTCTTAAAGAGTACAAGTCTTTTATTCTACAAGCTGATCCTAAACCACTATGGGGTTCCTTGGAGAAATGACCAATTCTAGGGCTGGGAAATTGCAGGGAAAGTGCAAAATCAGCCCAGAAGATCTTGTGCCAGAAATTCTCAGCAAATGAACATGTTAAAAAGAACAAAGGCCCCAATATGAATGAACTCCCAGTGGTCAAATCTGGGAAAATTTGAGCATCAGAATAAAATGAGGGTATACATTGTAGTGTAAATACTATGTGATGTTCCTATGCCATCATATCATCCTGTGATATATTCACATGATCACTTGGTCAAGTTGTTATCTTCCAGGTTTCACCACTGTAAAGCTACTGCTTCCCATTTTGTATTTTATTGCTATTTTGGGGGAGATAATCTGACATGACACCAATATCCTTTTCTTATTAAACCTCTAACCATGAGCCCTAGCCTCATTAATAACCCCACTCTATATCAGTTACCACTCTAATGGTTGCCAAATGGTAACTATCTAACTCTATCATTCTATCATTCTATCATCGTTAATTGACATTGTACTATAAGAATTCCTTCCTTCCTTCCTTCCTTCCTTCCTTCCTTCCTTCCTTCCTTCCTTCCTTCCTTCCTTCCTTCCTTCCTTCCTTCTGTGGTGAACTTATTGATTTCTTTTTTATTTGGTGGTTGGTAAACCACTACTCTCATTTTATTCTGATTCTTAGATTTTCCCAGATTTGACCACTGAGAATTCTTTCATATTGGGGCCTTTGTTCTTTTTGACATGTTCCTATCATTTGCTGAGAATTTCTGGCACAGCAAGATTTCCAGGCTTATTTTGGCACTTTCCCTGCTGCAACCCTTTAATTGGTTGTTTCTCCAAGGAACCCCTTAGTGGACTTCTGTTTGGTGGAAGATGGTATTTAGTATCCAAGATCTGCTCACCTAGTATTTTCATTGCTACTCGGATGTCATTGCTTCTAGGACCTCTTAGCAGACAGAACTAGGAAATATATATATACATGTATATATGTATATGTGTGTGTATATATGTATATATGTATAATACAAACATCGGTATATGTGTGTACATATATATATTTCTATAGCTATCTGTATGTGTTATATTTTAAATGAGTTTATTTACTAATACTTCTAGTTCTAATCCAGCATCTTAGGATTCTTTTAGTCTCCCGACTCTTTCCATGCTCTTTTTTTTTTTTGAGATGGAGTCTGACTCTGTCACCCAGGCTGGATTACAGTGGTGCAATCTCAGCTCACTGCAAGCTCCGCCTCCCAGGTTCACACCATTCTTCTGCCTCAGCCTCCTGAGTAGCTGGGACTACAGGCACCCGCCACCACGCCCGGCTAATTTTTTGTAGTTTTTAGTAGAGATGGGGTTTCACTGTGTTAGCCAGGATGGTCTTGATCTCCTGACCTTGTGATCTGCCTGCCTCAGCCTCCCAAAGTGCTGGGATTACAGGTGTGAGCCACCGCATCTGGCCTCTCTCCATGCTTTTAAATCCTTTCTCCAACTGTGAGAAATCTAACTCCAATTATTTTAGTAAAAGGCAAAAGATTTATTCATTCTGAAGAGAAACCAGAACATTCTAATTATTTTAGATATATTCAACCATTTGCACAATCACCTAACATATTTGTTCAGTATGACCACTCTCCTAACCACTCAGGCTGCCTTTTCCATCTGCTACTCCATTCCCCCTCCCACTGGGCTGGGGCATGCTGGCACCTTCGCTGGGCAATAGTCTCTCCCACACCATCCTGTTTCCTTGGATATGGGGCACATTGCTGGAGATGACTGTGCACAAAACCCCATCACCTTTGTTGCCCTGCTTCCTCGGAAGCTGATGTCTCTGTGTTGGGAGGGGTAGGGAAGAAAAAGAAGGTTGGGAAGGGAAGGAAGAATAGGAGGAAAGGTAGAAAGTCACATTGCAGATATATATTTTGAGGACAGAGCTGACAGAATTTTCTGGTAGATTGAATATGGAGAGTGAGAAAGAGAAGTAGATAATGAAGTAATGATGATCCCAAGGTTTTTGGCCTGAGCAACTGGTAAGCATTAACTGAGATGAGGACAAAGCAGTATGAGGTTTGGTGGGGTTGATGAGGAGCTCATTTTGGATATGTTAGGTTTGACGTGCCTTTTAAACATGTAAGAGGAGATGTCAGTACTCACTGTACATGCATCATGAAGTGTGGGTTGGAGATGTATATTTGGAAATCCTTGGCATATAGATTTTATTTAAAGCCATGAGCTCAGCTGAGATTACCAAGGAAGTAAGATAGATGGAAACGTTTATGCTGAGCCCAGGGACAATTTCGTGTTAGGGAGATGAGGAAGAACCAGCAAGGTGAGGTCAACCAGTGAGGTGGGAGGAAAACCAGGTAAGTGTGATATTTTGGAAGTCAAGTGAAGAAAATCCTTCAGTTAAAATGAAAGGATCAACTATGTTAATGCTGTTGATAGGTCAAGTAAGATGAGGACTATGAGTTTACCACTGAATTTAGCAATATGGAAGTCACTGGGGACATTAATAATATGTGTATGTGGAAGGGTGAGCTTGATTGGAGCAGGTTCAGAACGAATGGGAAGAAAGAAATGAGAGAGCCAGAGAACTCTTTAAAGGAGTTTCAGCCTATATATAAGCCACAGTACTCTGCTTGCATGTTTATTGGCTCTGCACCTGAGTAGTCTTTTCTGAGAGTCATGTGAGTAACCTTTTGTTATTACTATGTATACATTTTTTTGCTAAATACTATTTGGTCTTAGGATGGTGAAATGTTACTGTAATTGGTCAAGTTAATAACTGACTGACAGTGTAGTTCCTACACTTGTGCACTGAGGAAATCATCAGATCAGTTTCAGTGGCATAAAATAGGTAGAGAATACAAAGGAAGACCTAGTTTTGAAAAACTTTTCAGAGTGCTTAAAGTTTTGAAAGTGTCAGAGAAAATAGGAACTTCATAGATTCTATGGTAAGCAGCCTTCTTGGCCTTGGTCAACACCTTGAGCTTTCTCTACAAAAAGTTTTCAGTATAGTGTATTGAAGAATGTTTTCTGTATCCACATATTTCTTGGTTTATAATGAAACCTCATTAGGAAATTGGAATATAGTTAGATTTGCTGAAATGAATTTGATGGTTTAGATGAGTGAATCCTTTATTGTCTTTTTTTTTTTTTTTTTTTTTGAGACGGAGTCTCGCTCTGTCGCCCAGGCTGGAGTGCAGTGGCCGGATCTCGGCTCACTGCAAGCTCCGCCTCCCGGGTTTACGCCATTCTCCTGCCTCAGCCTCCCGAGTAGCTGGGACTACAGGCGCCCGCCCCCTCGCCCAGCTAGTTTTTTTTGTATTTTTCAGTAGAGACGGGGTTTCACCGTGTTAGCCAGGATGGTCTCGATCTCCTGACCTCGTGATCCGCCCGTCTCGGCCTCCCAAAGTGCTAGGATTACAGGCTTGAGCCACCGCGCCCGGCCTCCTTTATTGTCTAGATAGAAAATTGGTTGTGCCCTTAGCTTAAGGCATGGATGACAAATACGCAGTGCATATATACTTTCCACAGCCCTCTCCTATTGCTCATGAACCATGTCTGCTTTCCACAGTCGTCTCCTATTACTTATGAACCACATTAACTTTTCATGCTGAACCCAGATGTAGCATCAGAATTCTTGTTAGTAATGTTCCATAAAGCCACTACCAATTAGTCTTACATGACATATGACATAAAACCTTTTTTGATCCTTGGTGTAAGAATTCAGTTCACAAGATAAAAATTATGCAGAAAACAACACATAAATTAGAAATGAGCTTTGAATTACTTATTCAAATTCCTGGAGTTTATCAATAATAGTAGTGGCTAATGAGAAACCTTAATAGAGGCGACATAGGGATACAGTACTTGTTTCTTTGTCAAATAATTGAATTGATAGTTCATTTCTATTCTTTTCCTTTGTCCAAAGATTCTGGCCTGTTTGCTGAACTCGGTTATTTCACAGACACTGATGAGCTGCAATTGGAAGCAGCAAATGAGACGTGTGTAAGTATTTACTAAGATTGAATAATGTGATATTTAGTCTTTAACCCTAATTATTGCAAGAAAGTTTCAGGACAGCAGGTTCAGGCTAACAATTTAAGCTACATACTTAATGGGTAAATAGCTTCTACCATTAAGTATGAAAGTTAATAGCCATTTTGTAGTCAGTAAATGTAAGACAGTAGAAATTGCATTGGTCTTGGTGTGAGACTTGTATTCTAGGCCCACCTTTGGCCCTAGGGGTGGGTGACTTTGGAAAAGTCACTAATCTGCCTACTTGGTTTTTACAGATAGTTTGCTACATAAGGGAATTGGCAGGTGACTTTGGAAAAGTTGCTAACCTGCCTACTTCTTGGTTTTTACAGATTCTTTGCTTTTAAAAAGGAAGTTGGTAAGTTCTGCTTGACTAAGTTGGTAAGTCAAGCAGAATTTACCAACTTCCTTTTTAAAAGTTGTATATTTATGTAGAAAGCTCTGAAAAGTAGGTATATCCTTACCTTTGGTTGGAGGTCTGTGTAAAAACTATTATAACACTCTGAGTCCCCAAGAGTATCTTAGATTTTCTTTTCTTGATTAGTACATATAAAGCTCTTTGCCGTATAGAATTTTGATTTTGTCTTATTCTTTAATGGATGAGGTGCTATTTCACTTAAGAATTAATTCAAGTGAGCAGAGTAATTTATCAATCCGGTTGAATATCACTTCATTTTAAGCTCTTATTAACTTAAGTACAAAGTATGTAAAGATTGCTTAGTGAATTTCAGATATTTCTTAAACAATGATTTAGCAGTTGTTTTACCATGAATCGACAGAAGAGAATGAAGCACATGATATATTTTAAAAACTCAGTACATGGATTTTAATGGTTTCATTTCTCCATGGAATACTTTAGAATGTGGCCCGTTGATTAAATTGCCTTTTAATATTGACTATTTGAATAAGCAACTGATACTCATATTTCGTAACATCTAGAATCCTAAAAGAAAATGTTTCTTTTAAACTGTGTCAAGAAACTGTGCTCAATTGGAAAGATTAAGGGAAATATATTCCTGATTTTACAACTAACATTCTATTATTTTATGAAAATCACTCAGTCTTTCAGTTCCTTAGTTTTTCTAGTATGACATGAAGGGATTGAATCTCTGAGAGCCCTTATGTCATTCTTCTTCCAAGTGGCAGTAGAATTTCCCATGCTAAATCACTGAAGAGCTAGAGTATATAAGCGCCAGTATGTTTCATTTTGCATAAACTGGGCCTGTTAAATTTCTGACGAGATAAAATCTTTATGCTGTAGAAAGTATTTGACTTATTTGGCTGAAGATTGAGTCAGAAGTTTCCTGAAGTAGGTCATGCCCTTATTTAAAAGTATTGCTGGCAGTCAGGCAAGCAACATTGGTAACTTTACTTAGATTAAGAAAGTTTAAGGATTTTTTGGTTGCTGAAAGTATAAGGCTGCTGAATTTTTTTTTTTTTTTAAGACGGAGTCTCGCACTTTCACCCAGGCTGGAGTGCAGTGGCGTGATCTTGGCTCACTGCAAGCTCCACCTCCTGGGTTCACACCATTCTCTTGCCTGAGCCTCCTGAGTAGCTGGGACTACAGGTGCCCACCACCATGCCCGGCTAATTTTTTGTATTTCTAGTAGAGACGGGGTTTCACCGTGTTAACCAGGATGGTCTCGATCTCCTGACCTTGTGATCCTCTCACGTTGGCCTCCCAAAGTGCTAGGATTACAGGCGT